AAGTAAATTATTTTATCAAAGTTTTTTCTTAACAGTTAATATATACATATTTATCTTCACATATTTTCGTTATATTTAATTTTTGAGTTTTCTGCAATGTATTAATAAGTAAAATAGTTTAGGACTTTGCTATGGTGACATGCATGTCACGGTGACATGCACTTTTCGGTCGACCTCATATAGGATCAGGTCGACCTAATATGTTGTTTCAGTGTCAAAACAGTTTCATGGTGTCTACTTTGGGGATTCATATCTTACAATTGGCTAGATGGAAATTGGAGATTAAAGGCTTGTTTTGAAGCTGAAGTATCCCTCTACACATTAAAGTACTTGGGAGCTCAATAGAAAGTCCAGAAGACCATTTTTGAACCTGACCAAAAGGCTATGCTAAAATTGGGAAACTGCCTGAAAATGGCTAAGTCTGGCAACGTGTTTGTCAAGCCTACTTTGGAGCTCAATTTGAGAAGCATGGATGCGAGTCAAGTCCAGGGGCCTCTACCACGTTAAGTTAATTATTTTTTTATACAAAGGCAATACATTGGATGAAAGATTGAATATCATTAAGGTTTCAAACAAAAGGCTCGAAGTTGCTACGAAGACTGTTTTTTCTGGCAGCTTGCTTGTGCTCGAAGTCTGCCAGAAAAACAGCCTTCGTAGCAACTTCGACCCTTTTGTTTGAAGCCTTACAGATATCCAATCTTTCATCCAATGCCTTGAATTTGTATAAAAACATACCTAATTTAACGTGGTAGAGACTCCTGGACTCGACTCGCATTCATGCTTCTCGAATTGAGCTCCAAAATAGGCTTCACAAACACGTTTCCAGACTTAGCCATTTCTAGGCAGTTTCCCAGTTTTGGCATACCTTTTGATGAGGTTCAAAAATGGTCTTCTGGACTTACTATCGAGCTCTCAATCACTTCAATATGTAGAGGGACACTCTAGCTTCAAAACAAGTCATTAGTCTTCAATTTCCATCTAGCCAATTGTATGATATGAATATCCAAAGTAGGCACCATGAACTGTTTTTACACTGAAACAACAGATTAGGTCGATCTGATCCTATATGAGGTCGATCGAATCCTAAATGAGGTCGACCAGATCCTTTATGAGGTCGACCGAATTCTAAATGAGGTCGACCTAATCCTAACTGAGGTCGACCGGAAAGTGCAAGTCGCCAATTCGGTCGACCTAATCCTAACTGAGGTCGACCGGAAAGTGCAAGTCGCCGTGACATGCATGTCACCGTAGGCACACCCAATAGTTTAATTCTTGTGTTTTTATATTATCATTCTTATATTTTTATAGTATGAACGCAATAGAGTAGTTCAATATGTACTATGATCCCCAACCTACTGTATTTTGTAGGGGTACCACTTATAGTGTAGGCTACTTTGTCTAGTTCACGTGCTCAAATTCCACATGTTAGAACCAGCTCACATTCCTTTTTTCGAGACACATGATTACAATCAGGGACGGAGCCAGCGTCCCCCCACCAAAAAAAAAATTCTGAAATCTGGTTATGCAAGATGTAGTCTAATGGTTTGCCAATCTTTTTCCTAACCTTCGGGTTCAGGGTTCAAAAGTTTGTAGAGATGTTTTTGTAGGGTTGCTGATATAGTGATATTCCAATATAAATTTACTGAATGTCTAAACATCGCCCTAACTTTTCTACTATCGCCTTATTTTTCAATATATATTTACTAAATTGTCCTTCACTCAACAATTATCAAAAATAAAAAACAACAAAAATAGGAAAGATGAGCCGTTCACCAATAAATGAGTAAAGGATTGGTAAAGCCACAATCCCCCATGGAAACAAACTACTCTCCTTCTCTGTGTGTCGGCAGAATAATCCTGCCGCCGAAATCAAGCCCCACCACATCAATCCCTTTTTTCCATTGCCGAAATCCACTCCTTGCTATAGTCTATCCCAGGCGAATGTGTCCCTTTTTCATGCTGCGATGACCATAATGGTGACCTTTATGAATGCGTTCGACGGTGAAAATCGACTATGGTAGGCTGCCGACAATGGGAATCAATGGCGGACGAGCGGCAGCGGGAATGACACTTTCTCCCTGCTGCGATTACCATAACAGTGACATTGATGAAGGCGGACGACGATGGGAATCGCCGGTTGGCAGCCGACAGGGAGAATCAGTGGCCGACGGGAGGCGGGTGTAATGGATGCGAGCGTGAGTCTAGTTGGAAGAAGGATAAAATAATAATTTTATCATTTAAATTGGGCGATTATAAAATTTTAGTACGACATTTAGCAATTCCCTAAATTTAACCACAAAAGTTTCAATTTTATCCATTCTCATCCTCAAATTTTCCATGTACCTAATTTTCCCTATATTTTGGTGACAAATGTGCATTTCCCCGATTTCTCTTGTACCCTAAATTTTAATCACTAGATTTTGCAAGTCCTACAATTTCTCATTTTGATTCATTTTTTTCCTCCTAATATTCTCAATTTTTGGCTATAATTGATAATTTTCACCTATTTTTCCTAAGCCTACAATTTGTTTTTTTGTAGGGAATTTCGTTAGTTGTGTCTTTTTCTCCTAATAATGTCAAAATTTTGCTCAAGATTGAAGCTCTTTGCCAATTTTTCTTTCTCCATTAGTAAGTTATGTTGTAAAAGTATAGCATAATAAATTTTAGTTACATAGTATTTTGAATCATATCAATAACTTTAAAGAACTCATACATGATAAAATCAAATAATTATAAGCTCTTTTTTACATTTTATTATGACAACACTAAAATTTTTAATCCCCCCACCACCACCTAAATGTCTAGCTCCGTTGCTGCCCACAACTCTCATGGCTAATGGCCCGTCGCAGGTAAGATATGGGACTAGAGATGGCAACAAAACCCGAACCCACGAGTACCCACCCAACCCAATCCGGTCAACACGGGTAAAACCCGTGTTGACGGGTTTTGGGCCGGGTTCGGGTTTAAACCCGCTACACTATTCACTGGGTTGGGTTTGGGTTTAGATAAACCCGCCCCATGGGTATCCGCTCAACACATATAATTAATTTCTCGGTATATTTAATATTCTAAATAATATATCTTCCTTAAACAACTAATATTCTTTATGTTTGTGGAGACATGTATAATTTGTTCTTTCTAATTGTTTAGAATGAAGTTGATATTATGAAGTTAAGAATGAAGAGTGAAGAAACTTAGTTGACGAGGAAGAAGCTTTCAATTAATCTTATTGTTTATAGATGTTTATCTTTAATTTTGAACAATTTGTATTGATCATTTGCGGTTTGCTTGTATGCTCTAGATGTGTTTTTTGTATCAATAATTTGTATGAGAAAATTGATGTTAAACTTTTATTTTGAAATAAACTTGTTATTGTAATTTTTTTACCACAAAAACCCACGGGTACCCATGAACCCGCGGATACCCAGCGGGTTGGGTTGGGTTTGAGTTTTTCAAACCCAGCGGGTTTTACCCCTGGTTTTTTTGGCGGATAAACCCATGGGTTTGGGTTTGATAAAACCCGCCCCAACCCGCCCCATTGCCATCCCTATATGGGACTCCCTGTGCATTGTTGGTAACGCAAAGATCATTATGGACAAGTGCAATGCCCGGGATCTTGCAGACAATAAAGTTGGTGCTCTTACCAGGGATATTTGTTTTTTGTTATATGAGTTTGCAACTTATTCGTTCTAATAACATGGAAGCTCATTATGTGGCTCATCATGTCTTGTTCTTGTTGCCCTAATTGTTCAAGGGGTTCAACTTCGTTTCTTGACTTCGTAGTGCTTAGGGTTCTTGTTGGGTCCTTTGTAGACTTTGTATATTGTTCTCTTTCTCGAGTTTTGAGGATCGATTGAAAAAAAAAAATTTGCAAGCCCGCAGCCAAACGACGTCACTCTAATCAGCGGAAAACGACAGAAAGAAGTCAGTCGTCTGAAATCAAGTCGAGTCGGTCCGTGGCCGGGAGAGAGGGCTCAAGATAGGGTGCATAACCATGGGTTATGCATCCATCAATAACCAAATCTGGACCCTTCATTTAGAAAATCCAGATCTAAGGATGGAGAATTAAAGATCATTTTTATTTTCTCTAGCTTTCTTAATCGGCTCATATCTTTTTCGTTTTAACTAGGATTTTAATTTTTTTTGCACAGGTGGAACGAGTTCATCGTGCTCTACAAAATGAGATCAATTTTCAATATTTTTTTTAGAACAAAATATTCTGGCTTCTCGGTACCAACTGCATACCATATGGTATTTTCTTCATTTTTAATTCGTTTTTGAAAACGTTTGCACAGAAGGGACGAGTTCATCATGATATATTGGATCTACAAATTTCTAGGTGAACAAATTACAGGACCAAAAAATACCACACAATACCATACAATACCACCCCGGTACGGGGTGGTATTGTATGGTATCTTCTTCGTTTTCAATTCATTTTTGAAAACGTTTGCACAGAAGGGACGAGTTCATCATGATCTATTGGATCTACAAATTTATGGGTGAACAAATTACAGGACCAAAAAATACCACACAATACCACCCTGGTACGGTGTGGTATCTTGTGATATACAATGTTAAAAGTCGTAAATGACAATTAATATATTTCTACTATCATGTATTCAACCATTCTACAGTCTTGTTTTGTTCATACCACCATGGTACTTTTTTCAAACCATAGGTATGCTTTTATTTCAATACTAGTCAATACCATATGGTATAGACCGGTAAAAAATGACTCAATTTTTTTTGTTCGAAAAATATATTAAAGTGGATATCATTTTGAAGAGCACAATTAATCTGGTCTAACTATACAAAAAAAATTAAATTTCGACTTAAAATGAGTGAAAAATCGTCCGTCAAAGATTAAAGAGGGGAAAATTAAAAGCTTTCCAGGAGAGAGAGGATGCTAATGTCATGCTGATGTGGACGGGTTACTCATGGTTACTCACCACAACGTTACTCACCGGATCTGCTCCCCGGAGAGAAAACGTTGTTTTCTTGAATTGAAATGGTTTCTTAGTGTTTCCATTTGTTTACTTTTTGACATTTTCTCTCTGTCTATATTAATATCCTCATATCGTTCGAAAAGAGGGATTGGGTTCATATTCATCTTTCGATCGCAAGACATTCTAGCCTCCATTCTCAGATCATCGAAGAATTAGAGTGGGAAACGGATAAAACGATCATCTGGCAATGGGCGATCAGGTGGCTAGGGCAGATGAATTTGAGAAGAAAGCAGAGAAGAAGCTCAGCGGCTGGGGCATATTCGGTTCCAAGTTCGAAGACGCGGCCGATCTTTTTGATAAAGCCGCTAATTCCTACAAACTTGCTAAATCCTGTAATCGCTCTCCTTCTCTGCATTCCAATAATTTTCTCGTCGCTTGAATGTTCGTCGGGTTGTGTTTAGGATCCGCGTGCCTTTGGATTGATCTTCATTTTCTCCATAGCTTGCTAGTAAAATGTTACTTTCCGGATGGATTGAAGGAGACAGATTCGGTGTTTGAATTTTCAGTTAATGTAGGATTATGGTTCTGAATTGGGACTTCAAGTCTGAGGCTCGTTGTTGGATGTCTGCATTTCATTTGTCTTGTTTATGATGATTGGTGGGGAGCTGTTTCCATTAACTTGATTTCCAGAGTTGTGCTATGTTTCAACTTGTATTTAGGAGTATAACCTCATATTATTGATTCGTGCTTGACGGATGTAGGATTAGTAGTCAACCTAAAGTGAGTTTACTGTTCTAGCCGCTGAATGAGTTAAATACATTGGGGTTCGGTCACTTGTGTTCCATTAGATTGTTAACTATCGCGTTCCTCTATCCTGCTGAACTTTGTGAAATGCTTAGCTCTGATCAGCATTTTCTTTTGTTCCGATGATATAACCTTGTCGAATGTGATACCCCGAAGCTTTTACTACACTTGCATTAGCCTTCTCTGTCTTGTGCTGGAGTCACTTGGTGGAGGTCCTCTAACCTTGGTTGCTTATATGTTATGGCAGGGGATAAAGCTGGGGCTACATATGTCAAGCTTGCTAACTGTCATCTGAAAGTAGGTATTTTAGAGCTTTCATGCGGGATTGAGGACTGGGTTTGTTTGTTGGGGAGTTTCATGCAATCGCCATTTTCTGTTTGCAGTTGGACAGCAAACATGAGGCGGCGCAAGCTTATGTGGATGCTGCTCACTGCTATAAGAAAACATCCACAAGTGGTATGGAAATTTTCCTGAAATAAGATAATGTATCCTTGAAAGTCGCAACAGAGAACACAGGCTCAGGCAATAAGTTCTTCCCTATGATGGGTGACCTATTAATTCAACAAAGATTTCTATGCTATTATGCTAAGTGCCGTTGAGATTATTTAGAGTAAACTTTGTCTCATTACCATTTAGATGGTTAGTTGCAGCTCCAAAGATACAGTTGCTTTATAGCTCGTGGAAACCTTTTGCTTAGCCTTGGTTCGGAGTTGATTTGTTCGCCTAATCGCTTCTAGCAATGTAGTAGCTTACAAACTTTTGTTGTTGATTTGTTACATCATCACGATATGCAGAGGCAATTTCTTGCCTAGTTCAGGCAGTGGAGATGTTTTGTGACATTGGAAGGATCAGTATGGCTGCAAGATACGACAAGGTGAGATTTTCAAGTTACCCCCTGATTTTTCTGGAAGATTACTAGGTTGTTTCTTGTTCCAGTGTCATCAACTAAACCAGTTGGCCTTCCCTGTTTCAGGAAATTGCTGAGTTGTATGAATCAGAAGCAAATATAGAGAAGTCGATCGAATTTTATGAAAAAGCTGCTGATTTCTTCCAAGGCGAAGAAGTAACAACTTCTGCCAACCAATGCAAGCAGAAAGTAGCTCAGTTTGCTGCGCAATTGGAACAGTAAGGCTGCTGGTTTCTCTCGACTTTTGTTCTTTTAATGTTTTTTCTCTTCATTTTCTCTGTTCAAGTTCACGTGTTTACTGAAAAATTGCAATGATGGATCTTATTATGAAAGAATTGGGAAAAATTACTTTGGACTGTAGATACCCGAAGGCAATAGAGATCTATGAAGAGATTGCCCGCCATTCTCTCAGTAATAACTTGCTCAAATATGGAGTTAAAGGTCATCTTCTGAATGCTGGGATTTGCCATCTCTGCAAAGGTGATGTTGTTGCAATTACAAATGCGCTTGAGAAATATCAGGTTTGTTTTGCTTCTTGATCGTTATTATTATATGATGTTGAAAAAATACACCCGCTTACGCGAAAAAACTATTACACTCTTGCTCGTAGGATTTGGATCCAACATTTTCCGGGACTCGTGAATACAGATTGCTAGCGGTATGTTATATTCAAGATTACTTTCTGATGTTTTATGATTTTGCTTTCAGAAGGTTTAGTCTGCGAAATATTTAGCCTGATGCTGGTATCTTATCTCTGATCTCAGTTCCCATGTTAGGAGCATGTATAGCTATCTGGTGGCCTATTCTTTTCTATACGTATATTCAGTGTGTGCGTGTTTGGGTAAAGCTGAGGTAATCCATTTTGTCAAGCCAGGATCTTGCTAGTGCCATTGACGAGGAAGACATTACAAAGTTCACTGATGTGGTCAAGGAATTTGACAGCATGACCCAACTGGTAAACTTTTCTGTAACTGTATCCTCAAATGTGTATCCACTCGTGTCGTCGTTTTGCTCCATTTTCTTCTACCACTGAAAAAATGATTACCTTGCATGGTTGCATTTGAATTTATATGATCTAGTAATTGCTTTTTTTTCTCCGTGATTCCTGATACTTCTTAAATAGGATTCTTGGAAGACGACCCTTCTATTGAGGGTGAACGAGAAGCTGAAGGCGAAGGAGCTAGAGGAGGACGACCTCACTTAATTTGGGTGTCTGGCTGATGATCAATTACATGACTATAATGTACGGGTTTGGTACCCAGTCCAGGGTCTTCTATCTCCGGTATCGTTTTGTGTACTTACTTTGAGATTCGATTCTGAGTGGGTATGGTTTACGAGTTGTTTAAATGTGCTTTGTAATTGGTAGTAGGATATGGTTTCTGACTTGGGATTTATGAACACAGAAATATATTGGCTGAAAAAACTCTTGTTGATTCAAAGCGTGAAGGTATAACTATTTATTGTTGATTCAAAGCATGAAGGTATAACTATCTATGTGTGGTGAGGGGGTGCTAGATTTTCGGTTGTTTCTGTGCAACGCGCGTCATATTCCACCTCTTGATGCGGAAAGAAATACGAAGAAAAATATTTCTCCATGTTCGTTTGCATGGAGAATTCTAGGGATTTTAGAAATTCGCTTATTCCGTTGGATTTTGTCAGAACAGTCGTTTCAGAAGTAGACCGCACTTTGATAGCCGCTTGATTTTCAATTTATTTCCATGTCTTGTTTCCATTTCATGTATTTGGCAACAAAAAAAGAAAGCTGGTATACTTTTCATAAGAGTTAATTGCAAGGCAAGTCACTGGGATTACTAGAATCGTTTACGTTTAGTCACTAAAAAATTTTAATTCTGTTTATAGTCACTAAGAGTGTTAAACCTATCAAATTCGGTCACTCTCAGTTCAATTCTGTTAACTTTGGCTGATGTGACAATCAACTTTCAAAATTGTCTGTCAAATGTGTGACATGGCAATTATAAAAAAAAACCAAAATTTAGTCTTTAATATATTCCACCTAATTATCATCATCGTTAAAACAATAAAACCTTAATTCTTCTAAAACCTAATCTTGGCAGAATAATTTAGGGCATCGTCGCTGTTCTACCGAGCCCTCTTCATCGTCCTGATGAAGTATGATGGAGTTGTGGACTGGAATGCGCAAGAAGAAGCAGCTCAGAGGAGTAGTTCCACCAGTCAACTCCAGCAGCTGCAGAGCCTTTCAGCAGTGCATCGAAACGGGAATTGATTGGGCTTGAAGACGATTCGTTGTTATGGGGAACGTTTCGTGACTTCGCCTAATTCCTCGTCAGCACGGCACCGTATCTTCTTTAGTTTTGCGTTTTGTTTGTTAAGTGCTGTTAGTTTTCATTCGTCCTATCACTGCTAGCCACCTGTCTTGGTTACACAGTGAAACTGGAATTTACCGTTGTACGAACGTTGTGTTTGAATATAAATAGAAAGGGATCCAGCTAGGGAGAAGCTGAGGATTCCACCTTCGCCATTTCTTCTCTTCTTCCCTAAACTTTCTATATGGTATCAGAGTTTTGAAAAGCGATGGCGGATCAACAAACACCTCCAAATACAAATCGACCAACATCTGGTGGCGGCAGCGGCATCTCCAGCGCTATCCCACTCAACTTTGGAAACTTTGGAACGTACAACAACACTGGAGCCCAAGCCAATACCTCCAGATCTGGGAATGGTGGTTCACTTGACCCAGTTTTCGGTAATCCCTACTACATCAATCTGAATGAAAATCTAGCTCAATCGATTGTTCCAATTGTTCTCGAGGGGCCAAATTACCAGATGTGGTCTCGGGCCGTGAAGGCTGTTCTCAAAACCAAGCAGAAATTGGGTTTCATTGATGGAACAATTCCAGTTCCAGATCGTAACAGTGATATGTTTAATGTTCGGGATGCAAACAATACTATTGTGCCGTGTTGGATCAATAACTCTTTTGAGTAAGAAAATTGCTCGTAGTGTGCAAACCCATGAGAATGCACGGATTCTGTGGAATGAGCCTAGAACTCGTTTTGGACAGGCCAATGCCATCAAGTTGGCTAACCTAGAAGATGAGATTCATGCTTTTAAGCAGGGTAATTTGAACGTGACACAATATTACACTCATCTGAAGTGTTTATGCGAGGAGTTTAGCCAATTCAATCCCATTGTTCCATGTCATTGTGCTCCTGGAAATTGGAATCCATGTAGTACAGTAGAAGATTTTAGGGAAAAACAGAATACTGCTTGCCTCATCAGGTTTCTCAAGGGATTGAATGACGAATATGGGTATAACAGTACCCAATTGCTCATAATGCAACCACTCTCCTTAGTGGTTACTGCATTTGATCATTTGCTGCAGCACGAGCAGAAATTAAAGGCTGAAGGAGCTGTTGGGAGCCAGAAGACTGGGCAATCAGTGGCCCTTGCTGTTGGAAATCAGGGACCACCTGGTAAGGGAGCAGGGAAGAATGAACAAAAATATGAAGGAAAGTATGAAGGAGAAGGATTGTTTTGCAATTATTGTAAGAAAACAAATCATGTCATAAAGGACTGCTGGAGGCTTAAGAAGAAGAGACAGGATAAAGAAGCTGCATCTGGAAACCGATTTGCAGGATCAGTGGGGCAACAATCTGGTAGTGAAGACAGTCAGGACTCTAAAGGATAACTACATATTGACACTAGTAGTGCTCAATCTCACACTGGTGGGTTCACACTTGAATAAATGAATAAGCTAAGAAGCTTATTGCAGTCATCCAATTCCACCTCACCTACATCTCCTCAGACTCCAGTCATTAACCACAGATCTCATTCAGTGACCAAATACATACCTAAGTTTCCTTCTCACTCAGGTTAAGTTGTGCTTTCTTCTCATCAAATGGTTGCCATTAACAGATTGTCTTGCTCATGGATTTTAGATACTAGTGCATCAGATCACATAGCATGCTCTCTTTTTTTTTGTTTTTCACTTCTGTTCCTGTGTCTGATGTATTGTGTATCTTCCTGATCGATCCAAAGTAGCAGTTAGCCATATAGGTTCAGTCAAATTGTCCCCTGACCTATATCTTCACAATGTGCTTCTTGTACCTAGCTTCACCTTCAATCTTGTCTCAGTCAGTAAGCTAACTCATGATCTTCCCATCTCACTCCTTTTCCAATCTGCCATTTGCCATATCCAGGACCTTATCACAACCAAGATGATTGGTTTGGCGAGAGAAAGTAAAGGCCTATACTATTTCATCCCTCCAGACAAAAATTCCAGCCTATCTACATCCAGCTCACCTACCACTCACATTGCTTCTGTTTACAACTTTGAACCACAGAAGATTGACCTTTGGCATTGGCGCTTAGGACACCCCAGTTTTTCTAGAAGAAGATTCGTTGTTATGGGGGAACGTTTCGTGACTTCGCCTAATTCCTCCTCAGCACGACACCGTATCTTCTTTAGTTTTGCGTTTTGTTTGTTAAGTGTTGTTAATTTTCGTTCATCCTATCACTGCTAGCCACCTGTCTTGGTTACACAGTGAAACTGGAATTTACCGTTGTACGGACGTTGTGTTTAAATATAAATAGAAAGGGATCCAGCTAGGTAGAAGCTGAGGATTCCACCTTTGCCATTTCTTCTCTTCTTCCCTAAACTTTCTATGCGTCCATCTTCACGAACCCTCTCTTCATCTTCGCACACTTTGACCAACTCGCTGCCATCCACAGTCCAATCCCAATTGTCATCGATTTAGGGTTCACAAGTAGGAGCACTCTCTTTTAATCAGCTCCTCAGGACGGCCAGATGTCAATTCGCCGACCGAATAACTCCAGGGATAGGGATAGATGAGATGCAAAGTATTTTGAAGCGTTGGAGCGGGTGAAGGCGCCCACGGCACCAACAACACCTAGAGGAAGCGCAAGGAGAAGAGACGGAGGCGGATGGATAGCGCAGAAGATGTAGGCCAACAGATCTGGAAAACTTTTTCCTTTTCTCTTTCTGCTGCTCCAAACGATGCGATATCCCTCCCCTCTTCTCCTTCCGCAGCGAATCGAGCATCAAGGAGCAGTGGGACGACAGTGGTTTGGTGGTGCAACTCCCTCGATGATCGAGGATGGCCTGGCGATTCGCCGGTCCGGCGACCGGACTGGTGAGGCGGTTGTCTGGTGGCGGCGATGATCGACGATGATGGGAGCGAGACGATTGGCCGAGAGGAAATAGTGATGGCGGTCAACGGTTGGGGCTGAGGGAAGGTGAAGACTTTTGATTGCAGGTGAAGATTGATTGATGAGAAGGGTTTGGGAGTTTCGAACTTTCAATTGCAAGTTGGTTGAATGAATGATTAAAATTTAAATATAATTTTTTATATGTTTTACTTGATTTAATTTTTTGTTGTATGAGGTGAAAATGGTTAAAATTAAATTTATTTTTTTTATAATTTTTTATTTACCACCTTACAGATTAACGGTCAACTTTGAGAGTTGACCACCACATCAGCCAAAGTTAACAGAGTTTGACAGAGAGTGACCGAAATTGAATCGTTTAACTAATCTTAATAACTATGAACGAAATTAAATATTTTTAGTGACTAAACGTAGATTCCTTCTATTTTAAGAAATGTCAAAATGTTTTTTTCCACCAACTTCCAACATAGCTCACTTGATCTGAATTATCAAGTCTCAAAAACCAATACAGTAACAGCTTTGTTTTCAGAACCGGATTGTAGGGTGAACCGAAAAAGTTAATGGTTTAGGGTTCAATGGTTAACCGTTTGTAAACTGTTGACTTGTATATTATACTAATTTAAGAATGAAGTTATCATTGATCATAAACAATTTTTAATTCATATAATCATTAAAACATCTAATAAATCATTGAAACCGTCTCACAGAAGAAATCATAAGATTTTTAATTCAAGTTAAAAATTAGGGTAATGTCAATTTATTATCCAAAGCTTTTTCGGATTCTTTTATATCATCCAAACCTATTAAAATGCTATTTATTAGCCAAGTCTTTCGTATTGCATCAAAATATTAGCCATTTTTCATTATCGTTAATAACTTTGTAACTCTTTTATTAGTTTAAATATTAAAATTTTGGAATGTTGACTTTCATGTGTCTCTTCCAAGTCAGTATCATGTTGTTAAGTCAATATTACTAAAAAAATCGCAAGTGAACATTTAGCTAATTCTTAGTATTTCGATAGCTTAGCCTAATAAAAAAGAATCAGAAAAAGGTTTGGATAAAAAATAGACATTACCCTAAAAATTATAGTGCCAGTTGGTAGTGGATCACATAAAAAAATAAGGTTGAAAAATGAGAAGACGTATATAAAATAAATAATCATGGCTTGATGGTTTTAGTTTACAAATGAATCTTCTCTTTTATGACATGAATCAATTCTTGACTACTACGTCCGGGTGCACCAAATACTCGCAAGCAGCGTTCCTTCCATATGTAATGTAACCCACAATCCAACACCACACTGCTCCATACAAAAGACCCACTACAGTTCCACCCTGAACAAGCGTGCAGATAGTGTTCAAACATTTTGCCCAAGATTGAGGCCAGCTTGTCAAAATCCCTCCAAAGAACGCAGTCTAAGTTTCAGTGTAGTAGGTGCAGCAGAAGAAAACGTGGTCTCTAGTCTCCCGCGCAACATCGCATACACACACACAAATCTGAATCAATAAGCCCCCAGTCAGAGAGTTTTGTCCCTAAAAGCCTTCTAGGTTTGGAGAATTGACAAACCCTCAAAAGCTAAAGTGTTGCCCCTGCTTCCATTATATACCACTGTGTTCTGATAAAAGAGAATCACTCCAGAGTTAGCCAAGTGGCAGAATGCAATTGGCCATTACAAATCATAAACTGATCTTAACAACGACTATTAACTAAAGTAAAATGACAACGTTTAACATATTGAAATAACTTCAAAGTGAAACTTCTGCTGGAACGTTTCTTCTACGAAACGCCTTCTCCTTCTTCGTAATCTAGATACCATCAGGACTCCTCTGCAACTCGACATCTTCACTTGGTTGACACCCCCTTCAAGTTGTGATATCCATCAAGATTCTCAACTTGCTAAGATACTCCTGGACGCGCACCCTGTGAAGACTTTTTAGTGAAAATGTCAGCCAATTGGTTAATTGTACGGACATGTTGCAGTTGTATAAATCCATCCTTAATTCTTTTTCTGGTGACATGCATATCGATCTCGATATGCTTTGTCCTTTCATGAAACACCGGATTCTCAGCAATGTGGATCGCAGACCTGTTGTCACAATAAACAGTCATATGTAATGGTATCTTAACACTCAATTCAGCCAACAAACTTCTCAGCCACTCAACTTCACAGACCAGTAGAGCAAGAGTTGTATATTCAGCTTCTGACAAAGATTTGGAAACCGTGGTTTGCTTCTTAGACTTACAGGTGAGTAATGATCTTCTAATGAAAGTGCAATAGCGTGTGGTGGATCTTCTGCTGTCAGGATAGCTTGCCCAGTCAGAGTCACAAAATCCAGTAAGTTTTAGTTCTGCTTGGCTGCTGAAGTAAATCCCTTGTCCTGGAGATGACTTAATGTATCTAAGCACTCTATGTGCTGCTTGTAAATGATCACTGTAAGGATCTTTCTGAAATTGACAAAGTTGTTGAACTGAGAAGGTAAGATCAGGCCTAGTGATTGTGAAATAATGCAGCCTTCCCACTAGCCTTTCGTACATCTTAGGGTCTTCCATCTTGATTCCTTCATTCCTTGTCCTGCTGCAAGCTTTACCTTGGGATCAGATGGAGACGAACAACCTCTCGCTTCAAGAAAACCTGTATCATTCAACAGCTCCATACAATACTTCCTCTGATAAACAGATAGACCTTCTGCAGTCCTTGTCACTTCCAATCCAAGAAAATATTTCAGAGGACCAAGCAGTTTAACTTTAAACTCACCACACAATGACCTTTTAATCGGGTCTATATCCTTCTGTGCATCTCCTCCAACTATGATATCATCCACATTGACTAAAACCACCACAATCCTGCCATGAATCCACTTGGTAAACAAGTAATAATCAGATTTGGACTGTGAGTATCCATTTTTCAATAAAAAACCTGTCAGCTTAGAAAACCACTGTCTCGAGGCTTATTTCAATCCGTACAGTGACTTCTTTAGTCTGCAAGCCATCCTTGTGTTGCTTGATCCTGGTATTTCAACTCCCTGAGGAATCTCCATATAGACTTCTTCAGTCAAGTCTCCATGCAAGAAGGCATTGGAAACATCCAACTGCTCAAGAGTCCAATTCTTTACTAATGTTATTGCCAATAAGGCTTTTACTGAATTATCTTTGCCACAGGTGAATAAGTGTCAAGAAAATCAATTCCATACACCTGAGTAAAGCATTTTGCAACCAGCCTAGCCTTGTACCTTTCTATTGTACCATCTGGCTTCAGTTTGAGTTTAAAAACCCATTTGCTCCCCACAACATGTTTATCTAGGGGCACTGGTACTATTTCCCATGTCTAATTGGCCTCCAATGCTACAAGTTCCTCATTGATTGCTCTCCTCCATTCCAGAACTTGAATAGCTTCTCTATAGCTTCTAGGTTCCACACAAGGTAGAATACTCAATGCATAAGCTTTGTCTACTGCATTGAGATTATCTAAATTAAATGTGACAGGATGCCTAGTCACAGTAGCTCCAAAAGCTCCAAACTGCAATTGAGGATCCAAAAAAAAATCTTGGTACTTAACTAGGAGGACAATCTTTCGTTTAGGTCTACCAATAGGTTCCTCATATGCTGCATGTGGTTCCAATTCAGGTTCCAGTTCTAGACCAGGTGAAAACTCATTAGATGAGAAAACCTCCTCAGAACTACTACTGGATGGATCCCCCCTTGAATCACAGGCTGAATCAAGTGTAGGTGGTGGTGTGGTAGTGGGAAATAAGACTGGTGGGGCAGGAGTCACCACAGAGAAGGAAGGAGAAGGCATATCAGCATCAGGAGAAGGTAAGTCATGTGTGTCTGATGAGCTTCGAAATGGAAGAATTGATTCATAAAAGACTACATTTCTGGAAACAAATAACTCCCTGGTCTGCAAATCAAGCAACTTATATCCTTTAATCCCAACTGGAAGACCAATAAAAACACACTGTCTTGCACGAGGTGCAAACTTAGTTCTACCATTGACTAAAGTGCTCGCATAGCACAACACCCAAACACATGTATGTGACCCAATAGAGGTGAGGTTTGGTACAAAACTTCATATGGAGACTTGTTGTCAAGGACTGGAGTGAGCAATCTGTTTATGAGATAAGTGGCATGCAGAATGCAATCACTCCATAAAGGAAGTCTTGACTAAAATCTAAGAGACCTAGCAACATTTAGAATGTGCTGGTGTTTCCTTCTACACGTGCATTTTGTTCTGGTGTCTCTATACAAGACATCTGATGTTCAATCCCATGTTCCATGTAAAAATGACACATGTTAAACTCCTGCCCTTGGTCACTCTTGATCACTTTAACACATTTACTAAACTGATTCTGTACAAGAGTGCAGAACCCTTTAAGAAGAGGTCTAGCCTCACTTTTGTGTTTCATCAAAAACACCCACACAGCCCTTGAGCAATCATCCACAACAGTTAAAAAGAAAGCATATCCATCATAAGAGACCACAGACAAAGGCCTCCAAATATCGACATGAATCAAATGGAACAAATCATGTGCAATACTGGTGCTAACAGGAAAGGGCAGTTCTTATGTTTGGAAAAATTGCAGACATCACAATGTTTAAATTTAGGACTGGTTACAGAGGAATCTGTTTGTTGTAACAAATAAATCCTATCTTTACTAGGATTCCCTAATCTCCAATGCCATAAGTCTACTTGTTGAGGATGAAAGTTGAAAGAACTGGTTGCTTGAGGTAGTGATGTGGATTGCTGGTCTTGTTTTGGTTTGGAAAAGGTGAGCTGGTACAGGCCTCTATTATCTTTTGCTAAACCAATCATCCTCTTGCTTAGCAGATCCTGGATTTGGCAGAAATCAGATTGGAAATGTAAGGCTAAAGGATGATTATGTGTGAGCTTACTAACAAATACAAGGTTAAAAGAGAAACTGGGGACAAACATAACATTGTATAAAAGGATTCCTGAAGGCAATTTAATCCTATATGTGTCACAAGGACTTTTGTGGCATTTGGTAGGTAAACAAACATATTGTGAGTTACTCTATGCTCTATGAAAAGGGATAGAGAGCATGAGATATGATCTGATGCGCCTATGTCTAGAATCCAAAAGTAAACAGGATCTAAATTGCTATGTTCTGTGTGAGGAAAGGATGAATTTATCTGAAAATTAGGGAACGGAGGTAGATACCGGTGTGAAATGGAAGGTGAATGAGGTGGTGAAGGGCTTAGATTAGCACCAGTTTGCATCATTAGCCTAAATTTGTTCATCTCTTCAGGAGTAAAGGCTGCCACTGCCTTTGCATGACTCACATGACTATCATCTGGTGTGTCACTATTATAACTTACCTCAGTTGATGAGTCTCCTGAGCTTGCTTGAAAGATTGATCCTGCAAACTTTGGTGTATTGGATCCTCCAGAGCTACTACCATTGTCAGCATCCTTCTTTCTCTTAGCCCTCTAACATTCATCAACAACATGACCAGGCCTTTTGCAGTAAATGCAATATTTCCCTTCTCAGCCTTCAATTTCTGCTCATATTGTAGCAGATGATCAACTGCTTCTGACACAGTAAGCAATGGCTTCTATGCAAGCAATTGACCCTTGATTATCTCAAGGTCTGGGTTAAGACCCCTCAATAATCGAATCAAATAGTCAGCTTTTTGCCTCTCAATGTAACCTACCACTGCATCGCACGGATTTGGATTTCCTGGAGCAAAATTGCAGGGCACAATAGGATTGAACTGCAGGTACTCCTCCCATAACCCTTTAATTTCAGTGTAATGTTGGTTAATGGTTTGAGCACCCTGCTTACACTTGTGAATGTCATCCTCCATATTTGTTATTCTGATGGCATTTGGTTTCCCATATCTCCTCTTCAGTTCATCCCACAGTACTCTAGCATTCACATGACTCATTGCAGAGCTCCTTAAATCCTTGTTCATGGAGTTAAGTATCCATGACAACACAACAGTGTTACAACCATCCCACAATAAGAAATTAGGATCTGTTCTAGCTGGCATGGGTATAGTACCATCAACAAAACACAACTTATGCTTCATCTTCAGACCCATTACCACAAAACGACTCTACATAGTGTAGTTACTACCATCAAAGACCTCAGATCCTATAGATTGATTTAAGGCTTCATTGGAATTCAGGTAGTAAGGATTACCGAAGGTTATGACATCGTTTCTGGCTCCAGCAAAAAGTTTGTGTTGCTGCCGCTCATCAAACGTTCCAAATTGGAAAGCACGAGGACCAGTCCCATTTCCCGCTTGAGTTCCTTGAGATCCCTGAGAGGCATTTCCCGATGATGAATTCAGACGACCCTGGGAACCCGGCGGCGTGTTCATGGTTTCGCTAGTTGCTTGACCGCTCTGATACCATAAAAGCCTTCTAGGTTTGGAGAATTGGCAAACCCTCAAAAGCTAGAGAGTTGCCATGCTTGCATTATATACCACTGTGTTCTGATAAAATAGAATCACTCCAGAGTTAGCCAAGTGGCAGAATGCCATTGGCCATTACAAACCGTAAACTTTTCTTAACAACGAGTATTAACTAAAGTAAAACGACAACGTTTAACATATTGAAATAACTTCAAAGTGAAACTTCTGCTGGAACGTTTCTTCTACGAAACGCCTTCTCCTTCTTCCTAATCCAGACACCATCAGGACTCCTCTGCAACTCGACATCTTCACTTGGTTGATAGTCCCGAGTTTTAATTCTATCAAGTATGACTAGCCATGTCAGCAGACTATACTTCGGGATGCAGTATTTACCCCACAGTATATGGTACTGCATTTACCCCACAGTATATGGTACCATTGAACAGAAGGTTGCCGCACACGAATAGAATGCCAAATAGTATGTGCAGAAAATCGGGGCATCAGCTTCCCTTGCCAAATTAGAACCTGCCAGCACCTGAAGTCATAAGCCAATATTGAAACCACGACCTACACTTAAGCAACTTTCTTCACATGCAAGAGCCAACATAATTTTCTTTTAGTACCCCCACACTTCTCCCTTTCAATCTATATCTAGAGATCTAGGCCACCCAAAAACTACCCTATATAAAGAGTAGTCATAAAAGCCATACATGCTATATTCCATGTTTCCAGATCCCGAAGACCAAGGCCTCCTTCCTTTTTTGGTTGAGCAATCTATATATGATTTTCACCTTATAGACTATTCGAAAATAAATGAACCAATAATTCATTTCCACTTAAAATCAATTCTGGTGTGAAAGTTATTTAAAAATGAATTCTATGTTTGGAAAGTTATATTTAAATCTCTACACAATTAATTGAATTGAACTTGCTAGTCATGTATGTCACACATTTATAACTGAATCGAATGAAACCTTCCAAAATGTACCCTTATTTTAATAAATAATTTACCTAGAACATGATATGTATTCAAAGTCAATCATTGAAAGCGTGAACCAACTACATGACATGTAGTTCGAAAAGTAACAATGTTACCATTACTAAACTTATTCATAATTTACCATTGAAAATGAAGTCATTTGTAATTCTAAAAAAAATTCATTTCAAAATAAATACCTAAAAACATATTGAATATTCAGCTCTCATATCTCTAAGTTCTTAGATATGGTTGGCCTTGTTGATCATCTTTGGGTTAGAAAATTGTAGCTTGGAGCGCCTCTAGTGGAGATATAATATTGGGGGTTTTGTTCCTTGTTGGTGGACTTTTCTTCTTCGGTGAGCTCGTTCCGCTGTTTCCCCCTTTCGTTGGTTGTTGATCTTTGTCTATTTGGAGTTTGTTCATATTGTGATTTTCATTGGATTTTTGGGTTGATTATGGATGATTAATGATTTCTTCTCGCTTCCAACCCTTAACAATACTAGTTCTAAGATGTTGAATACTGGTTCTGACATGTTGGATACTACTTCCATATTAATGTTTGAGTACTAATAGTTCACAAGATGACTACTAGTTGGTTTTATTATGAATATTATTTTCCTACCAATGCTTGAAGATTAGTTGGATACATAATGAATACTACTTGCATTGAGTTGAATACTACTTGGAATGAGTTGAACACTAGTTATAATAAGTGAAATACTAGGTGGGTGATTGATGAATACTAATCGAAAGCTGTTCAATACTACTTGGCATCATGATGAATACTAGTTTACTTATATCTTGTTAAGGACTTTTGAACGATGCCTCAAGTTAAAGTAGAGGTGTTAAACCACCTGAAGAAGGATCACCCCAAATGCCACAAATTTATATGAAGAACCACACTGGCAAACAATGATTGTAAATTGTAATATATGTTCACACTGGTTTCTAGTACTATCTACTTGATTTTTATGTGATTAATACTAGTTGAACTTGTCTATGTTATAGCCGTTGGAACTGTTTTGTTCCGGATACTAGTTCATTGAGGTTCAATAATAGTTTGGCTCTCTTGAAATTGCTTGGATGAATACTAGTTCTATGTGTATCAAATGCCAGCTGCTTTCCCTTGAATACTTGTACTTGTGTTTTTCCGGTAGAAGATTGTGGGTGCTAATATTGCTGGTTCAACTAAGCAGAAATGCTAGTCCCAACAAGTTGAATACTACTTTTACTAAGTATAATACTAGTTGTAGTAAGCAGAAAACTAGTTCGAACAAGTTGAATACTTGTCAAAATATTATGGGTAGTGATAAGCCGTTAATTGCACATGTTTTACCCCTATTCTGGAGCCGTTTGGGATGGTAATTCTCGTGTTTTAGGCCTATTTTATGCTAGGTTGTGTTCCTTTGTCACATTTCAGGCCCTAGCACATAAAGTGAAGCGTAGGCGCAAGTTTCAAATGAATCGGAGATCATTTGACAATTCGGGAGAAGAAACACGAGCATGACCTGAGGAATAATGGATTTCTACCTCATATTATGGACAAATTATCATGGAAGTTTGTTATGAAAAGAAAGAGGACGAGACTACGAGTGTCTGGGTTCAAACGGCGACTGATTCGGAGTCCGGACGAGGGAGAAACGAAGCATGAACAGGGGTGGAGGAAGAATTACGGGCAGGAGAATTACGACCGTAATTTCCCCTCCCATGCCCGTAATTTCACTGCCGAGAGGAGCTTTGGGTGCGCTGAAACTTAACCAAAACGCGTGTTTTGGGCAAAATACGGGCATGGAAGAATTACGACCGTAATTCAGCCCGTAATTCGCCCAGAATCGAGTTTTTAAGGCAGATTAGAGCCAAAGGAAAGGGAGAGCTGGGTTTTGGATCCCAAACACCCAAGGGACGAACCCTAGAGAGAGAGAGCGACTTGGGAACATTCTTGGAGCTATTTTGGAGGATTTCTTCGCCATTGGAGCTCGGGAATCAAGCTTGGAGATGGAGATTGAAGATCTAGATCAGATTTCTGCAGTCTCTCTCTTCTCTATGGAGTAACTTCCCTTCACTTAGGTTTTGAGGAACCCTAGTTCCATGAGTTACGATCTTTCTTGTATGAAGTTTTGGATGCTATATTGTTTGAATATAATCGAATGATGCATGTTTATTGAGTCAATTGAAGTCTGATCAACTTTTCCTGATTTCTGCTGCAACCTGAGATAGATAGAATCTGATTAGGTTGTTAGAGCCTCATCATTCGGTAGTAGGAGATTGGCTATACGAGAGTTAGCCAGTTTACTGCTTTGTACTGGAATCCAATTCCAGTAGTGGAGTTCTGTGCTTATTGCTTCAGCTTTCTATCCCGGTGAAGACTAGTCGTCTGCCGGATAGTTAGACTGAGAAGGCTTGGTCAGCTTAAGAGATTCCAAGCTACTGTCGGATCTTCCGCAGTTTAATCAACAGTGAAACAACCAAAAGGAATTACAACTTGGACCTAATTGAGGAGCTAGGGGAAATCATACCTAAGTGAGTTCACAACTTGTAATTAGTAGAGTAGTTAGTAGAGTAGTTTCTAAATCAATCCGTAATCTAGTTTGCTAGATAATGAACTGAAGCTGAGTAATAGTAACTCTAGAGACCCGTGGATTCGATATTTATTACTTGTGCCACTATACTACAATCCCTTTCATTGGTTACACTTGGCCATTGTTAGGTGTTGTGTTTTAGAGCATCAAGTTTTTGGCGCCGTTGCCGGGGAACTTTCTAGATTATTAGGAAAGGCAGAAGTTTGTTACTTTAGCGTTTTTCTTTTCTTTTCTACCCTTGCTTTTCACTTGGGTTTTTTTTTGTTTTTGTTGGTGCAGATCTGAATCATGGATCCGCATGGCTTCTCCAACCAGTGGGGGTATCCACCACCATCCGAGTGGTATTACCCCGAGACTCCCTGGAGCAATCAAGGAGGAGAAGACTATGGATTCGGGTTCCAGTACCAACCCCCTTTCTACGGAGAACAACCAGACCCCTGGGCATATCAAGAACAACCTCATTACCAAGAAGACTTTCTCCCACAACCAGAAGGGTCGTCGGAGCTGGAGTTACCCATGGCGGCCTTCACGGGCCACTCTGCAGAGCCATGCTACACTTCACTGGAAGATCCGAACAAACAATTAAGGCTTCTGGTGGAGCAGTTTGCTCGAGACACTGAGAGATCATGCTCCAAGATGGATCTTCAAATCAAAGCCCTTGCTGCTTCCGATCCCTCATTTCTCCATGATATGGAGGAGACTGTTTAGCGCTCAGCGAAGCAAACAGAGTGGGTGGTGTAAATTTGCTCACATCTTGCTCAAGATCACCTTTCTGCTACCACGCTAGAAGAGGTGGAGGATGACAAAGGCTATGGGGATGTTGAGGAGCATACAGAAGTTATCACAGAGAACTCCCATGATAATCATGATCAGGAAAGTCCTCTGGTTGCAGATCACACAATTCCTTATTTCTGCTCTAACATGCTGGGCCCGAGCGAGGAGATGCAAGATGATCTCATTGAAAAAATTACATGGCGACTTGCTCTCCAATCTGTGCTAGAAGAAGAAGAGCAAGAAAGGGTGCAGAAAGAAGTTGTGGAGGATGACGAAAGTGAAGCAGGAGGAGTTGTTGATCATTTCCCAGGGGTGATACCACATGAAGAAGAAAGGGGGGGTTTGAAGAAGCAAGTGGCGTCCAGGCTGAGAACAGAGTTAAGGTGGAAGAGGCCTGCACCGGCCATGAGTTGCAAGTGATATCCCCACCAAACTTTGAGGAACTGCTTAGCAAGGACCCATTTGCAGTGTCTCTTTGCCAGAACAAGGCCACATCAACATCGGTCCCTCTTGGTGGACGCGATGGTGGCCAATCGATGTTGTCATATCTAGTTTGGGGCAATGAGACGAGAGAAGAGAAGAAGAGGTCTCAAGGGTGGAGACTTCATCTGCATCAAGTACATGAGCCTTCATCA